CTCCCAGTCTGGCTTGAGCGCCGTCGGCTTGAACTGGAGTAAGAATAGGGACATGAGGCCCTTCTTCTACAGATCTCCACACATCTCGTCCAAGTCTTCTAAGATATCTTTCCATCCTTTGTGACCAGTGATGATACTCGTTTGCCATTAGTATTGGAGCTCTATTCGAACCTCCAACATTGTTGGAAACGTTAAGAGATAATGCTTGTTCCATATTTCCTTGTTTTGTAATTTTTTTTATTTTTCCAGATAAATGAGCTTTAGTGGTATAGATGGCTTTTCAAAATCAGTGTTTTGTTCAAAAAGCAACCACTTTGGCTCTGATACCAATTGTTGAGAGAAAAACTTTTGAGACACACTTGAATAAACGTTAGAACAAGTTGTATATTATGGAATAAGTTAATCTCAAAGGATCATAAAGCTCAACAATAATTAGACGTTAGAGTTGTTAGATTGTTAGGTGCGGAAATGTAATTGCTGAAAAGTAAGGAAATGTAAATGACAACAAGTTGTATATCAAGTAACCACTAAGTTGATTCGTGACAAGGTTTGCAATCAAACACAAGTCAGTAAGAGTGATCAACTAAAGTGAAGAAGTCTCAAGGACTTGATCTGAAGGAGAGTTCGAGAGTTTAGATCTTAATAAGTGAATATAAGTTCAGATAAATCTTTTAGAGAGAATATAAGATATGAAAGATAAGAGATGAGTAAAAGAGAGATGTAAGATCTGTATTCAATCAGAACATGATAGCTCTATATACAGAGTCTCGAGGATTACAAGAAAATAAACAAAGTCTAAATCTGTCTTAAGTGGCCATGCAAGGCACACTGGATAAAACAATGTAAAGTGAAAAGATAACAGATAAAACTAAGTCTATGTTTGATGAAGACAACTACGGATGCGGTCGATGATTGCGGTTGAGAAGCTGAATGCGGATCAGGAGATGGTTTCGGATTGACTAAATTTAAGAGGGTCACTTTCTTGCTTCAACAAGATTCGTCGTCCTCCCTCCTAAACAATGTTGAGGATTAGGGTTTCTAATGGTGGCGAGTGTTAGGGTTTCTAATGGTAGTGACGTCGATGTTGAACTCGACTTCGTTTAAAGACGAAGGGCGCCTTTCAGATCAAATGTGAGAGAGATAGACCTGACGCGTTCTGGCGTAAAGGGCATTTTTTTCGTCCAAAGATGAAGGGCGGCGGCGATAGGGTTTTCTTCAGTGGCGACGGGTTTCAAAAGCATTGATGAGGTGGTGGTTACGACGGTTGTTGCCGGAAAATCAGTGCTAGTGGCGGTGTTGAACTGGTGGCGATGGTTTACAGTGGTTTCCGGAAAATCCGGATGGTGGCGGTGGTTTCCGATAGGTGGTGGTATATGTTTTATTGAAGATGTGAGGTCATTATTGGTATTGATTTTGAAGATGAACATGTATGTAGATATATATTTTTTTGTAATTGTATGTTTTATTGATTTATGTGAGCTCATTACTGGTATTGATTTTATGTATGAGATTTGTAATTATAGATGGTATTAATTTTTTGTATGACTATTATAAATATTAGAAACAATATGAAATTTTCTGGGTTTGTTCTTGATTTTCTGGGACAGTAAACAAACAGATGTGTTAGAGTTAATCGGAGAAGATATATATATATATATATATATATATATATATATATATATATATATATATATATAGAGAGAGAGAGAGAGAGAGAGAGAGAGAGATGTATTTTCTTTTTTAATTTTCTTTTAATTATAAAAGTATTTAAATAACTAAAAAAAATTGAAAAAGCAAAAACCAAGGGCAAACTCGTCATTATAAAAAAGTTTAAAGTAAATTATACCAAAATGGCAAGAAAATGAAAACCTTTGGACCATAAATGCTAATCCAAATAATTTTGGCCCAAAATGACAATTTTCACCTAACCACATGGACCATTCTTGCAATTTTGTCCTCATAATAATACATGTTATGAAAACAGTTGTTACAATATGGAATATAGATAGGGTTGTTCAATATTTTGATAAAATTGGATTGTCCAATTGAACAAGTAACAATTTTGATCGGACTATATGGTTTGAATATTTAGATTTTCGAAACGATTTTCAGCAAAACTAAATGGGAAATCTCTGATAAAGTTCCAATATTTTTGCTCAGTTTACGGTTTAATCCAAACATTTATTTTTTGAACATAAAAGTCCTGATTATCTAATTTTATATGATAATATGTCATTTTCTGCTGAAAAAATAAAGATTGTTTCGTTAATTTGAGCAAAATATAAAATAATCGGGACTTTTGTCTGCAAAAAATAAAAAAATAGGATTAAATCGTAAACTGACCCAAAATATTGAGACTTTATTGGAGATTTCCCAAACAAAATTATTATTTAGATTTTAGATTGGTTTTGGTTTACCTATTAGTGAAAAAACAAAAATCTCAAATCTTATATAATTAATTGTTACAATAATTCGAAAAAAGAAATTTAAAACACAAAGCCTAGAAATTCAAAAAAAGAAACTTGTATATTATATTTTTTTCGCATTCTACTCTTTGTTTTTTATCATCAATTCTTTTTCGCGTCCGGTAAGATTGCTAGTGTTCCTTGTTAAGATCGAGACGACACATTGTTTTTCTTGTGCGACCACCAAGTGATGCTCCAACGGCGACTCCAAGCTGTCCATTTTGATGTTAGATTTTCGATGTCACCCGAATCACTTGTCATCGCTTTTCCCTTTCGTTTCGTTTGATCTCTCCCCATGGGACGAGTGACTCTTGGAACCTCAAAAGGTTCATCTTCATTGAGGTCAATCTCGACATGCACATCAGACGATTGCCTATGTATTATTTCAGAAGTTTTGGTTCTTTTATAATAACCACCCGTGAACGTTTCATAAGTTTCGATGTCTTGTCATTTTTTTTGACATCTTCATGATATTCCACACATGCTGAAATTTAAAATTCGCCGCTTTCTGACTCCGGTAAAGTGCATAAGCTTTTTGCAAACTTGTTTCGTCATTTGCACCACTTTGCCATTGCCGTTTGACATACGAAAACACCACGCTAAACTCCATCACAACTTTGTTGATGTTTCTCCACTTTGAGTAAATTTGGTCATTTTTCTTGTAGTCTCCAAGATTCATTTCCGCAAGAAAACGCCTAGTAAATTTCCGGAAAAAATAAGAAAATCTTGGTTCGTTTCGACCACCGGATCTTCAGAAACATCTACCCACGCACGAGCTAACGCCGTTTCTTCCTCCGTAGTCCATTGCCTTGGAGTCGCCTTTCCACTTTTCTAGGGTTGTGATCGAATTTCTTCTTCCTCCGAATCCGTTTTGGGGACGACTTCGAGTTGTGTTTGAGTTTGGAATTTGGTTTGTGTATTGATTGGGGAGTTGAGAATATGGTCAAATGGGTTAAAGTAATTTTCCATTTGAGATTGGAGTTGGGATGAAAAGTTCATTTGAGGTTGGTTTTGAAATTGTGGGTGATTTTGGAAGTGAGGTTGGTTTTGAAATTGTGGTTGGAATTGAGGTTGGTTTTGGACATGATATGGGTTGTAAACACCACCATAGTGTAAATTTGGAGGTGAATAAATCGGCCGATCACTTTGGCTTTGGACGAAAGTATGTGAAGAAGGTAAGATTGGGTTTATGTTTTGGGTGTTTCTTTTGGTATTTTTTTTAGAGTTTTTGGGTTGGAAAGGAAAACCATTTTTTTCACAAAAATATAGTTTTTTGAGTGAAAAATTGAAGAATATAAAATGGTATAAAATGTGGAATGTAGTAGTACTAATATAGGGGTGAAAAGGGGTAAATTTTGATTTTTTTTTTAAAAGAGTCTATTTTAACCGAAAAGCGGTCAAAAAAATTCAAACAATCCAAATCCCCCCCCTCTCTCTCATCGGTGAGTTTTTGCCGAATTGCCAAGCCGAGCTCGACACACCGAGTCTACGGCCCGGTGTTCACCAAAGTTGCCGAGTCCTTTGCCTAGCCACTCAGTCTGGCCTAATACCAAAGTTAATATAGAAAGTAATGTTGGATTGAAATGATGTTTAGACCATCTTTCATATACTAAGGTCGGACGGTATGGGGAGCGGGGAGGGCCGCGGGAAGTGTCCCGCACGGAGGAACACCGCACCGGCGGTGCGGGAAGGGAGGCGCGAGAAAGAGGTGGGGGGAGGGGGTGCCGCACTCTCTCTCCTCATTCTATTGGCCAATTTTTTTTTTCTTTTATCTTTTTTAATATTTATAAAATTATATACCTACTAAAAAAATATTAAAAATATATCAAACTTCATGGTTTTTAATTCTCTACAAAATGAGTATAATATATGTATGAAATATATATATATTTTTTAAATAAAAAAATAATGAGGGGAGCTTCCCACCCATTCCTTGGGTTTTAGGTGAGGGAAATGGTGGTAGGACCCACAAAAAGTGAGGGAAACTCCCCACCCATACCCTCCGGTCTAAAAGTCAACATAATAATGTCATTGGTTGGAGATGTCCTAAACTAAACCTTTATTGACACGATGTTAGAAATCAACCATGAAATATCAATAAATTAATTAATCCGAATCAAATCAAATTAACGAGTGAAAAAATGTTTCATTTTTCGTTTGAAAATTATCCATGTAATTACCAAGAAACATTTATCCTTTCCATTCACCACATACCTTTATTTATTAATAAAATATATTTGTTATTATTTTATTGAAAAAGAATATATTCATACTATATTGATCCATTCTCTTGTCACACACATGAAGGTGTCACGGACGTTGCACGTGGAATAGTCCCGACCAATGTTCTCTTGGAAGAACCCAGTGAAGTAAAAATTGTTTACTGCCCCGAGACACCCTACATTTTGGATTAATTACACTAAGAGTGCTCTTACTTTGTTTTATTTCACTTTCACATTAAAATTACAATTAAAGTTTAGGGGTTTTATATGCAAATACAAAAAGTAATGAATATCACTATGTATTTGGGAAAAGATGTGTTGGTTCTTTGTACTGTACTGGTGAGTAAAATATTGTCTTGATCAATCTAATATTAAGGATTGTTATGTCTTATGTTTGCTTAATATTTATCTACTCATAATATTTTTTAGTCAACATTTGACATTTTATTAATATATATGTGTTTGATGGGTTTTAATATAATATATGTTAATAAGAACCAAAAGGACTATAACATTATCAAGTGATTGAAAACTAGATCATTAGATATATCAACCATAAAATGTATCTATTTAATTTGCATACAAATATATACAAAAAAAGCTTTTGAATCGTCTACTATTTTGTCTTTATATGTTTTATTTTCAAGTTAGTTCTTAAAATTAAAAGAAAATTTTATCAATTTTACATTTCAACTCGATCCATTAGCTCCAAAACAACTTGTGTAGTCATTGACGACATCATAGCCAACTTTAATACACGTGTAATTATATGGACGATATTTCGGTTGTATCCCTTTGAATTTCAATTAATTAAGATCTTAAGTTGATAAATATATATATCCAAACAAACTTTTAAAAATTAAAATTTTAATACACACTCTAAATCAAATTCTCAATGTTATTAATTATTTTATATCCTACAACTAAGTCTTGTTCCTCATAACTTTATACGCAATATTCATTTAGTTTAAAGTCAATCCTAAATGAAACTATGTTCAAGTGAATATCGACTTATATAAACGCTTACTGTATTAATTAAATACGTAGTATACTATAATACATTAATACTAATTGATTTCTATCATAAAAATGATAAATCTTTTCCATGTGCAAATATTTATGACGTGAAGGTGTGGCTATGAATACTAGTCATAACATTAGGGGTGAAGATGCATTTTACCCAAAGTTAAATTGTTGTTGCACTCTTCCTTAAAGAGACAGCAATACACAGACATACTCACATACTCATCACCACCTCCTCCGCTTTTCTCTCTCTAAAACCCTCTTTCTCTCTCTAAAACCCCTGTTACCATCGCACCTTTTTCGTCTCAAATCCTCTATATTCTTATGAATCTGATCCCAGACGATTAAAAAAGCAACTCCATTAATTTCTTCTTGTAACAGCCCAATAATGCTATCGCGAATCCATACAGATCTCCCATGAGATCTCTCTTTAATTATCGCTCTTAGTAAGGTATATACACATTCCTCAGCATATTCCCCCAAGAATGTATCTATATCCGAACGTACAGCATTTGATGAATATTCATGCATTAATGTGATTCTAGGGTTTCTCTTGATTGTGATTCGACATTTTTTTAAAATTACCTTTTACTCTACCAAACTTCATTTTCAGCCATGAATTTGTCTGTTTTATTGTTTAGTTCTAGATATTTTTTGAACATGTTTTTCCTTTGAAGTGATTTGAATTTATTGCTGAAAATTTAGTACTCTGTCGATGCCTTTTTTTTCCTTATCAGCGTGTCTAAACTAGGGTTTTGATTTGTTTTCTTTACCTTTTTTGCAGGTCGGAATCACTTAGATCTGAAGCCTTCAACTCTACTTTTTTAAAGTTACCAGGTGTTAATTATTGATTATATGTTTAAACGATTTTCCTGTTTTATTTATGATAATCTTAGCTCCATCAATAGTATAAACATGTAATAAACAATTATTTTCCTTCAGTTCCATAATGTAAGCTCTGGTTTTAAGGTTCTGAACACTTTATATCAACAATTTTGTTCATCTTTTCAGCTGTGACGAAATCCAGATGATGCACAGACCTCCTCCGCACGATGATTTCTCACTCAAGGAGACCAAACCCCACCTGGGTGGAGGAAAGGTCACCGGAGATAAGCTCACCAGCACTTATGACCTTGTGGAACAAATGCAATACCTGTATGTCCGTGTGGTGAAAGCTAGGGATTTACCTGCGAAAGATGTTACTGGTAGTTGTGACCCTTATGCTGAAGTTCGTCTTGGAAACTACAAGGGTACAACTCGTCATTTTGAAAAGAAATCTAACCCTGAATGGAACCAAGTGTTTGCCTTCTCCAGAGAGAGGATTCAAGCCACTATGCTTGAAGTCACTGTAAAAGATAAAGACTTTGTTAAGGATGATTTCATGGGGTGGGTTCTATTTGATCTTACTGAGGTTCCAAAAAGAGTTCCACCAGATAGTCCTCTAGCTCCTCAATGGTATAGATTAGAAGACAGGAAATCAAACAAGCTGAAAGGAGAGCTTATGCTAGCAGTATGGTGGGGTACTCAAGCTGATGAAGCTTTCCCTGAAGCATGGCATTCAGATGCTGCTTCTGTTGGTGGAGCTGATGCTCTTGCTAATATCCGTTCAAAAGTCTATCTTTCACCTAAGCTATGGTATCTCAGAGTCAATGTGATTGAAGCCCAAGACTTAATACCAAGTGACAGAACTAGATTCCCTGAAGTTTTTGTGAAAGCTGCACTTGGTCATCAAGTTTTAAGGACCCGAATCTCCATGAGCAAATCCATCAATCCTATGTGGAATGAAGACTTAATGTTTGTAGCTGCAGAACCATTTGAAGAGCACTTGGTTTTAAGTGTGGAAGATAGACTCGCACCCAATAAAGATGAAATCCTTGGAATGTGTGCAATTCCTCTACAGTATGTGGATCGAAGGCTAGACCACAAAGCTATCAACACAAGATGGTTTAATCTTGAAAAACATGTTATAATCGATGGTGAAAAGAAAAAAGAAGTCAAATTTGCTAGCAGGCTTCATATGAGAATCTGCTTGGAAGGTGGTTATCATGTTCTTGATGAATCTACTCACTACAGCAGTGATCTTAGGCCAACAGCTAAACAATTATGGAAGAACAGCATCGGTGTTCTTGAAGTTGGAGTCTTGAGTGCTCAGGGATTATCACCAATGAAAACAAAAGACGGACGTGCAACAACAGACGCGTATTGTGTTGCCAAATACGGGACAAAATGGGTCAGAACAAGAACAATAATTGACAGTTTTACCCCTAAATGGAACGAACAATACACATGGGAAGTTTTCGATCCATGTACTGTTATAACAATCGGTGTATTCGACAACTGTCATCTCCAAGGTGGCGATAAAGGGGGTGGGGGTGGGGCCCGCGATTCAAGAATCGGGAAAGTCAGAATCCGTCTTTCCACTCTTGAAACAGATCGTGTCTACACCCATTCATACCCTCTTCTGGTTTTACATCCATCTGGAGTTAAAAAAATGGGTGAGATTCATTTAGCTGTGAGGTTTACATGTTCTTCATTGCTAAACATGATGCATATGTACTCACAGCCTTTGTTACCCAAAATGCACTACATCCATCCGTTGACAGTGAGTCAACTCGATAGTTTAAGGCACCAGGCAACTCAGATTGTGTCCATGCGGTTGTCCCGGGCTGAGCCGCCGTTGAGAAAAGAGGTGGTGGAGTATATGCTGGATGTGGGGTCCCACATGTGGAGTATGAGAAGAAGTAAAGCTAATTTCTTCAGAATCATGGGTGTGTTAGGTGGTTTGATTGCAGTTGGAAAATGGTTTGACCAGATTTGTAACTGGAAGAATCCGATCACAACCGTTTTGATTCACATCCTTTTCTTGATTTTGGTTTTATACCCTGAGCTTATTCTCCCAACTATTTTCCTCTATCTTTTTCTGATTGGAGTTTGGTACTATAGATGGAGACCAAAGAACCCATCCCACATGGACACCCGTCTTTCTTGTGCTGACAATGCACACCCTGATGAACTTGATGAAGAATTCGATACCTTTCCAACTTCTCGCCCTGCTGACATCATCAGAATGAGATATGACCGATTAAGGAGTATTTCTGGAAGGATTCAGACGGTTGTTGGTGATTTGGCAACACAAGGAGAGAGACTTCAGTCTTTGCTGAGCTGGCGAGATCCCAGAGCAACTGCACTGTTTGTGATTTTCTGTTTGATTGCTGCTATTGTTCTTTATGTCACACCTTTCCAAGTTGTGGCACTTCTGACTGGATTCTATGTGTTGAGACACCCGAGGTTTCGCCAGAAGCTTCCTTCTGTCCCTCTCAACTTCTTTAGAAGATTGCCAGCCAGAACTGACTGCATGCTATGAGATGATCAACACCGGAATGGAATCGTCAATTCCAGAGAAGGTTACTCTATAATCAAAAAAAGCCATTCCTTTCTTCTATTCCTGGTAAGATGCATACAACTATCTTGGAACAATGTTTTTGTATATCTTGTGGTTCTGTAGTCCTTTCTTAAATTTCAAATTTCATGGTCTGTGTTTTATTTAGGTTGTGTTTTTTTTTTATTTAATTGTTATTAGTAGATTATGACAATCATCTTTGGCGATATTATTGGATAAATATCTTGGATTGGCAGTAATTTTTATCAAATGTTTCTTTAAGTGGGAGAGAATCTTCATTACTGTATTGTGTTTTTGTCTGTGTGATAAAAAAAATATAAAATAATGGGACAAAAATAGCACACCCCTCTTTTCTGCAGACGCAGAATATATTTGTTTTAGCAAGTTGGTGGTTTTTTTGTTGTAGTATGGAAACAGACAGAGATAACATAAATCTCATAAGTTGATGGACCCATGTGCAAATGAACATGGTTTTATTCTAGGATATATATATAATTGTTTCCACTATCATGCGTAATCATTATATAAAACTTTTTGTGAATGGCTATGAATTTGTACATAGCAGTTAACTTCTTTTATATGATGAAACATGATTATTTGTGCTATTGTTACTTTATTCTAGGCTACAAGTACAAAATAGTACCTTTATTCTAAGACCATGATTTATGGTCAGATGAATTGTTCTTTTTTCTGTGTGTATTTGACTTTTTTGGTACAAGTCAAGTACTGCATGATGTACAATATTATTTAGGAAATTACCTAAAGATTAAAAAGGGTAAATGGTTATGGTGTTTGGCTATTTATTTTTGAAGCATACAAGTAGGGATTGGTTGGTTTGACAGCTGTGTAGACAATGATCTTTTGAAAAGCAATTTTGGAATTTTATGGAAGCGTGGGATCTTATCACATGTGCCCTGTTTTTATCTCAATGTGACCTTTTTCGGAGCTTCTTTCTGCAACAAATATTGATTAGTTCTTTGATTCAATTATATTAACTACTTATCTTGAAGAAGAATCTCATGGTTTATATATGTTTAGATAATACAAATCAACTAAGACTTGATTATATGTGTGTGTGGGTATACATGTTTTAATAGCCGAGTTACCGATAAAGTAGGATTCTATGATTACAACAAATGTGAGTGGAACTAAGATAAGGTTACAAAAATCATTTAGGTCAAGTCAATAGACTCTTGGCTAAATTCAAGTCTCAGAGTCTTGAACCACGTTTAATAAACAACCCATATCGAGTTTTATCCTCTAAATACTGAAGCACTTGGTTTTAAGAATGACATTGCAGTTCGGTTGGGGCAAACATGATTATGCTAATTTTTATTCACAACAAAATAAATATTTTGATGAGTAATTGGTAATTTGCCAACGAGACGAGGATAAGGTATCACAACAATTTGTAATGTTCCATGGACAAGCGTAAGAGTATATCGAATTGAGTGCTGTGACAATGTTATTGATACCATCCATGTGAAATTGTTCGTGTGGGTGTGTTAATGAGAGAACTTCAACACCTAGAAACAAATGTAACGTGTTAAAACGTATGGCACTTACAAGATACTTCATTATGAACGTATGTGAGAATTTTCATCCAAGAAGACCATGAAATGTTAGAAATACAATGGAGAATAGAAATACACAAAAGAACTAAAAAACATTAAATGCAATAAACGGAGATCACACAAGAAAAGGACATGGATTTAATGATATAACTTACTAAACTATCCTAAATTTATGTATTCACACCCTCCTATTCAAGTACATATCTTCAAAAGGCACCAACTCCTTGTCTATCCTCATACAATGTACCTATTTCCTTCTAAGGTGTCCCTTCTTTCACGTACCATCGACCCGGATCCTATCTACCTCTTAACTGTTGATGGCCACTTTTATACATATTATTAGAGAGAGATTAATTGGTGGAAAAGTTTGTGTGTTTTTTATTGATACCAATACAACATCTAGTTTTTTCTTAAGAAATGAAGTTTTAGTCTTGGTTGAACGATTGTTGGCAATATTCTTAGACTTCTTCCTTTTATTTGAACTAGAAAGGTTACCCCCGCTACGCGGGGGCCAGAAGCTTTCAATGTTGTTTCCGAATTGATAAATATGACAGACATAGAAAGTGCAAGGATGAAAAGTCCGGGCTTTGTAGGGGCAAATTTACAATTTCCTAAAACTAAATTGGTATCAATATATGAGAATTGGGTGGAGTTAGTTAGAATGCCAAATTACAGGGACTATTTGTGCTAAATCAGAAAAATGGTCTCTTCTTCCTCCCTCATCAGTTGCAGGTCCGACTTTGTCCTCACCCTCCATTAGAACTGATGCCAAAAACGAATCTTGGAAAGGAAGTGGTCTAAATTCCTCAAATATGAGTCTTTGACAAAATTGACAAGTCTCTATCAAATCCTTTTTGCTGGAAATCTCGGATTGAGGCTATAAAAAGGGGATTTTTGGCATTGGAAAACCACCACCATAGCACCACCCAAAAACCACTCTCCCTTCACCCGAAATCACCACCGAACACCCCTGTTACGGTCGGAATTCTTCCCTGTCCTCCTTCTCGTCGAGCTCGCCGGAAAAAGAAGAAGAAGGAAGCAACAGGAGACCGCCGAAGTCGCCATCGCCGCCCACAGCCGCCACCCACCACCACCTAGCTGCGAAATTCCTCCTGCCACCACTCACCATTGTAAGTCCAACAACGCCCTCATCATTTTTAACCCCTTCGTTCATGGTCAAACAGGCCGAGAGACCCTTCGATTAAGTGAATTGAGGAAAGAACATTACCGTTCAAACATAGTTACGGATTAATTAAAATAAAGTGACACACAAACAAAAATAGAGGGACCGGAAATGTAATTTAAGGGACCAAAATTGGGCAAAATGTCTCATGTTTACTGTTAAAACTTTGCACAACTTTAATATATATATAATAATTAGTTTGAGGAAAACTAGGAAAAAGACGCTCATCATTACCTAAATTGATTTCTTCACTATCTCCTTTCCCCTCCATATTTTCTTCACGTTGAACATCGTTCAAATTGTTGTTGTTTAGAAATTGTAACATATAGTTTGATCTCCAACAACAATAGAATCTCGAAACAAAAAGAGCATAATGTCTCATATATGGACAAAATTGTGTCCCTAAATTTGGCAAAGTCTTTATCAACCTACAAGATAAACAATGACGTTTAATTCATATATTTCACTATACAAGCATAACCTCAAATGATTAAAAAGAATGGTAAATCTTACATTTGTTTTCTCCTTCCACTAGGAGATGCATTTAATAAGCTTCTTGTCCCACCAATTCCAGTTTCAAGCCTCATTAAGTGGCCATAAAGCTTCCAATTATTTTTTAAGTTGTCATATTTGTTTTTAAGTTGTTTCAGAGAAAAGACTTTGCATGTTTCTTCTTGCATGCCTTTCTCTAAATTCGTCCACCCAATCTTACTAAAATGAGTACCAGGTTTATGCCCCTTTTCTAGCTCAATCAAGCACAATTTGATAAACTTCATTTAAATATCATATCCCAAATGATTTTTGGTTTATTCTTTGTCTGAAGTGTTTCACAATTAACAACATTTTGGTCATTTAGGTCCATTATCTGAAAAATCAAATTCATTGCATAACAACAAGATGCAAAATCATATTCATCTAATATACTCCAACATTGAAGTTGAAATTATGAAGCAACAACACATTACATTAACTTTTGCTTATAAAATCATGAAAACTATGATGAGTAGTAGCTAAAAAAGCAATGTAGAAAAAATAGACACATGGTAATTGTCGAGGCCAACAAAATAAATACCCTAAATCTTTCACACTAAAATAGTGTGTAGTGGTAAAGGGATCGTATCCACAGAGATTAGTTCAATTTATAACTCTATGAAAATCTTCATGTGCAAATACTTGTGAAACGAAAATAAAAGTAAAATGAGGGGTTTTAATCTTTTAGTGTTTTAAAGAAATTAAAGTTACACTAAGGTTTGGAAATTGCAAACAAATAAGTAAAGAGTTATGATTCAAATCAATGAGAGGGAGATGGTTGACATTGGAATTTCATCACTTGAACATTTGGTTAAAAGATCATTAGAATCTCACGGTGCAATGCTTGTGTTCAAAATATAACTGGGCTATAACAACTTATAAGCATAACTTGCCTCAACTCTTCTTTGTTATTAAAATGGCTAGAGAAGCTCATAACACATTTTCCTTAATCAAAGTCGCAAAATTAATGAAACATATAGTTTGTGAAAATTAATTAGCATTAGGTTTTAAGAGTTACCAAATCCAAAAGGTAATCAAATGCTTCCATTACCATTATGGAGAAAATATTTTCTTAGTCTAAATGAAATTAAAACAAACATTCAAACCAACTGTTGCTTGTTAATGTGCAGATCCATTACTTAATCAATAAATTAACCAACTAAATTGATATTCATACATCTAAACTCATGATTAAAGATATATAAATATGGAGGAAGTTTTTCTAGAAAATATCTTCATAGACATTTAAACCCAAGTTCAAGAAATTCTTCAAGATAACCAAATATTCAAGCAGCTACATTAAAGTCAACCAAATATTAGTTTAGCCAAGAATGGTTAAACTCTAGAAAATGAAATAAAAGTTAGATCTACGAAACATTCCAAGTGAAAAAGATGATAAAATGATGCCAATCTTCAAGTTCTTCAAGCCTTCAAAGTCTTCAAAGTGTAGAGAAAAATGGCCCCAAACTCGGATCCAAAGAAGAGCAAAAGTGAGCCACCAACCTTCCTCAAATAACAGCTATGAGTAAAATCTTGAAAATACTCCTGCAGGAGGTCACGCATGCTGCGTGTCATTTGGCCTATTTCTTATGTGGGTCGTGTAAGCTGGTCAGGATTGGCCTTTTTCGTTTCTTGTGTCTGAATTGCGCTAGCCCACTAGCTAAACTCTTATCCATCAGATTATAAGTCTAAGAGTCTTCAATATAACATCCAAAGTTGTTCTAATTTACCTTCTTCTAATCACTCCACACTAGTCCATATCTTCAAATCTTCATTAATCAATATCCCACTTTGCTTTCAAAACCTAACATCTTCTTCAATAATCCACGAGCCCAATTCATCACATTTTCAAAACCACAAGCTGTGACATCCCCATTTTTACGGCCAGAAAAGACCGATTTCGTTTATGCTTTTTAACAAAAATCAGAGTAACTTCTTAAGAAAAGTATTGCAGAATTTGTTCCCAAAACAAAA